TAACTGTTATTTACTCTCTCTCTCTCTCTCTCTCTCACGCGTTTAATTTGTCTATTGAATCTCTGGTTGGCATCTAATCCTTCCTGTAGTTAAGTTTCAAGATCAGATGCTACCCAAAGTCAGTAATTTCAAAATTACCTATAGCTAGGTTATTGGAGCCTTAGATCCCTAATTGGGACTAGTAAAGTAATATATCGGCAGTACTAGTTAGTATATGTCAAACAGTAAATAAAAGATTGTTTAATCTGGATTATCTTGGAATAATTTATAGATTTGCAGGGAATAGAAGAGGAATAGAGACGTTGGGATTTGGAAAGAAGGAACATGAGGTTTAATTCCCTTGTTCCCCTTGACTCCCTAGTGCAACCCTATATTCCAGGTTAACTAAGTCACTGCAAATTTTCAGATGCACCATTGCTATATCCTATATTACACATTGGGCACATTTGTTGTAGGCTTAGTTAACTAGAGGACATTTTCAGATGCACCGTACCACTGCTATATCCTATATTACACATTAGGTAAATTTGTTGTAGGCTTAGTTAACCAGAGGACATTTTCAGATGCACCACTGCTGTATCCTATATTACACTTTGGGTAAATTTGCTATATCCTATATTAGACATTGGGTAAATCTGTATAAACTATTTGTAGTGACTTAGTTAACGTGGAATATAAACCATTGGGTAAATCTATAGAAACCATTTGCACTAGGGAGTCAGAGGCACAGTGGTCACTTTTAACTTCTCTCTTCCATCAATTCTTAGAGAATATTATTTTAATAGCCGTAATGTTTAGGAGCCAACAACTGAAAAGTGTCATCTAGCAAAGATAATATTGATGAGTAGTGTTCATGAGCAAATACCAATATTGATAGATGTCATGCATACAACAAACATACCCATACACATTACCCAGGAACTAGGTCAAAAAGGGCTAGGCAACACCAGCTCCATGCAGATGAAATGATAAACACGTCATGTTTCATAAGAGCAAATTTGCAAAACCACACACTAATAACAGTGTTGTAGATAGAGACGCCTGATTGCTTGTTCTAAGGCCAGTTTTGGGGCAGGTCCCCTGTTCAAGGACAGCACACCCTTTTTTTCATTCGGTCCTTCACTACATAAAAAACGATTTTTAGCAACGGGTCAAATTTTTTGTAGGGGCGGCTGGTGATGGAGCCGCCCCTACAGTGCCGTGCTCGGGTGCCCAGACATCAGCCGCCCCTACAAATGGAACAGCAGGGGCGGCTGGTGATACGAGCCGCCCCTACAAATGGGTCTGATTTGTAGGGGCGGCTCACTCACCAGCCGCCCCCGGCGTTGCTATTTGTAGGGGCGGCGGGTGATTGAGCCGCCCCTACAAATGCTCCCGTATATATAGCTCCGATTTGTAGGGGCGGCTCAATCACCAGCCGCCCCTACAAATGACCCACATATAAAACATCGGACGGCAGAACACTGTGATGGAGGTGGCAACGGATGTGGCACATCCTCCCGGTAGCTTACACCACAATAATAAGATATCGTTGGACTACACTAGGGTCGAGGTGCATACAGTGAAGCCCGAGTTCATGCATTGGAGGATAGACTACGTAACTCCCGAGGGGCTGGTGTTACTCGGAGACGTTATGGGGCAGTTCATCCTCTGGTACAAACGGGACATTATATTGACTGCTTCTTCGCCGCCTCCCCCTCTCCCAAATTTGGAGCGAGTTGTTGAGGTCGGGGAGATATTTTCACCGTCTCGTGACCACCACATTCCTGAGATGCCACATTCTTCCCCGCCTCCTAGCGAGCATGTGCCTGATGAGATGCCACAACCTTCTCCAGCTTGTACCGAGCAAGTGCATGATGAGATGCCACAATCTTCTCAACAAGCACAGTGGATACATGAACGAGTGCCTCCTGAAGAAGGTGATGCACAAGAAGATGAGGACGTGCTTGAATGGGAACTTCGAAAGAAGATTCCAATCAACATAAGGCCAGTTTATGTTCCGATCAAAGACGTCTCGTCGGTGTCCAAGTGGTATTTCCATGACCAGTTCAAGCCTGAGAACCAAGTTAAAAAAGTCCCATCACGGAGTTCTGAGGAGGCCGTCACTAGCAAACTCCACCAAATTGCAAAGCAGTATCCAAATGTTGATGCCATCAAATGGTCAAAGGATTGCCCAAAAACATATGAAAGAGGCAAGCCCTTCCTACCAAACCGGGACATCCAGCGCCTACCACTTGGAATGAGAAGGTTCCATGATTGGTACTTACGTGTTCTCCTAACGAGCATAGATCTCATACAAGCATGCTTCCCCACCGGCACATTTGGAAGCCCAGCCGAGAAAATTGTCTTTGACTTCAATGACATACACACATGCTTTCACCTAGGAGAAATGGAGATGAATCTAATTCGCACGTGGTGCCTATAAGTCCTTGTCCTCCTGATATGATATGAATGTAATCTTTGAATTTTGTTGTAACTAACCCACGCCGTGATTTGTAGAATGCAAGTGCACATTGTCAAACAAATACCAAGTGTGAAAGCCGGGTATCTAGACCCTCAAGCTATAGCCCAAACAAATTTTAATTACCCTAAACAGTGGACACTGGATGCCAAAGAGCTAGCTACTGCAAAGACTCTTCGGGAGAAAGAGCGCATCCGTATGGCGAAACTAAGGGAAGAGTTTCTTAAGGTTGCGGCATACATTGCCCTGGCTTTCAAAAATCTCCAACAACATCTACTATATAGCTACCATACAACTTTGAGTAAGTTCAACTCCATACTTAAAGCTTTGTTCAATATTATTTATTCGATGCAAAAGAGCTTATCTAGTTCTATGATTAAATCCATGCAGCAACCACTAGATTTGTATAGCCGTCAATGTCGGGAAGAGCATGGCATGGGTCTTTGATTCAATAGATAGGGACCCGGTGACATACAAAGACTTCATATCGATTCTCAAGACGTATACATATCGACAATCCTCATTAGCTTATATGTTTGTATATGTACTTATAACGTTCACTTTTGGATTCTAATAAGTTGTATTTGCTAAATTAATTCGAACAGGGCATTTAGGTTCTATGTCACTAATCATCACGGAAGTCATGATCCAGCAAGGAAGGAAAAGCTGGCTATAAAAACACTATGTACGGTAAGTGTAACTTACTTCTTCAGTACTCCGTTATATGGTTGTCAAAAGCATTACTTAACATTTTCATATGCAAAACACACAGTGCCCTAAGCAGAAGCCTGGAAGTGTACATTGTGGATACTATATATGTTCTATGATGAGTAACACCAGTGCCTACAGGATACACCCCTTAAGGGTAAGTTTGAACCTCTTCACCCGTAGTATAAAAACTTCATACATGATATGGAATACTAAACCGAAACTTGTTCTCTTGTAGTGGGAAGAAGAGAAAGAAATGAAAAGAGACTCATACAAGGATGATCAACTCTTAGAGTTCGTCGGCGACCTTTGCAACTTCATATTGGACCAGATTGTACACGTCAAAGGCGCCTACCATGACCGAGAGTCTGAGTTAGGTACAAATCCTCAGTACCAACACCTTCGTGAGACTAAAATGGTAGCTCTAGGACGTTGATAACAATATGTATGGAATTTATATATTTAATGATGGATTGTATATATTCTTGTGAATTGGATTTGTAATTGTAGTTTATATAATACTCTTATGCTTGTAGTCGCGGTCGCGGGCGTTACACAGCAATGAACGCGGTTCAAACGTTACGTCGCGGGCGTTCGCAACGCGTGACGCCGTTCGAACGTTAATCGCGCTTCGTTAACGCTAAACGCGTTCGAACGTTGGTCGCGGGATGTTTGGCAACGCGATTTTGAATTGTAAATTTAAATTTTTTTTGACAGAAAAACGTCCTGTAGGGTACAAACAGCTATTTGTAAGGGCGGTTGGTACTACAGTCGTCCCTACAAATCGATTTGTAGAGGTGGCTGGTAATATGAGCTGTCCCTATAAATCAATTTGTAGGGATGGCTGGAAACACCAGCCACCCCTACAAATCGATTTGTAGGGGCGGTCTGGGAACCGTCCCTATAAATTCATGATTTGTAAAGACGATTCGGTAGGGACGGCTGGCCAAACCGTCCATACAAAGGGTTATCAGTCGCCCCTACAAATACTTTTTGTTTTTGCAGTAGTGCTTCCAGAACCAGCCAAGACACATACGTGCATATAGCCATATACACGCATGGACACCCCTTAGGGCCTCCGCAATGGTCGCATCTTACCTTGTTCTATACATTTATTGCTGCTATAGAATCGAGTTCTATACATTGCGCAATTCGATCCATGAAGGAGCAGGTCTGATACATGGAACCGGCTCCGATGGAATAAAAAATGATACCACACAGTTATGGCTGGCAAGAATGAGCTGCCATGTTCCTCTTTCTCTCTCCTGCTCCCTCTCTCTAGTGATGAATTTATTGTTATGGGCCCATTTATAGAGTCAGGATTGGTCATATATATTGAGACCATTTTAACAAGTGATGTCAAATCATTATATAGAATCATGGAAGAACCTATACGTTTGCGGATGCTCTTACTGTGAGTGAGCCTATCCCCATCAATCAATCCAAAACTAGTATACAGCTCAAACCCATCTGCCACAGGCTATATACATTTTATACACCTAGGGTTTGTCTTTGGTGAGCATCTTGGACTTGATATTACCTCACACCCCGACTCCATATAAGGCAGCCATACATCCTTTTCCCTTGTACCATCACCTTCCTCTTGTTTTTCTTGCCTGTCTCCATACTCATCAGTTGCTTTTGAGGAGCTGAGCTACAGTCAGGCAAAGGATATTTCCGAGGTTTGGTCTTTTCCTTTTGCTCTGTTAGCTTTATGCAGGAGCAGTAAAGTATATAAGGATGTTGCAATTTGAAGCATCTAATTTTGTTTCCCATTTGCTCCATGCATGGCGTTCTTCTTAGATCTTAGCTAGGTTTTGCAAGGAAGAATATGCATCCAGGAGGTGGACCACTGTCGGTGCCACCAGGCTTCCGCTTCCATCCGACCGACGAGGAGCTCCTCTACTACTACCTGAGGAAGAAGGTTGCTTATGAGCCCATAGATCTTGATGTCATAAGGGAGATTGATCTCAATAAGCTCGAGCCCTGGGATCTCAAAGGTAAATAAATACATGTATATATAGATGCCAGTTTAATTTGTGTGCAAACTGCAAACATATTTACCTGTAGCATGCTAGATCTGATATGGCTAGACCTAAATTTTGCAAATATATAGCCAACCCACACAAATCTACATTTGTGGAACATGGCAGAAAGGTGCAGAATAGGCACTGGGCCTCAGAACGAGTGGTACTTCTTCGGCCACAAGGACAAGAAGTACCCAACGGGGACGAGGACGAACCGCGCCACGACGGCGGGGTTCTGGAAGGCGACTGGGAGAGACAAGGCCATCTTCCTTGGCAACGCCAGGAGGATCGGCTTGAGGAAGACCCTAGTGTTCTACATCGGCAGGGCGCCACACGGCAAGAAGACTGACTGGATCATGCACGAGTACCGCCTTGATGAAGAGAACGTTGAGATTCAGGTAGTAAGGGGCCTTGTTTTGTACTGTTAAGGTAATTTGTTTCGTGCTAGCGAGTTGCAAAGTGACTCAAATACACTGATATGATCTTCAGGAAGATGGATGGGTGGTGTGTAGAGTTTTCAAGAAGAAGAGCTATCACCAGACAGGCCTCAATCCGGCTGAAATGGCCGCACTGGACGACGATGAGCTCCAGCCTTTCCCTGTTCCTATCCCCGGCAGCTCCCTGCCAACAGAGCACAAGAACAACCCTCACCTCATGCAATATGACTTCCCTTCCTTCGACCCTTCCATGCAGCTCCCACAGCTGATGAGCGCCGACCAGCCCGTGCCAACCCTCCTCCCCAGCCATCCCGGTGTCGCCAAGGCCATGAGCTCACTCGACGTCGAGTGCAACCTGACGAAGCTCACGTCCAACAACAGCAGCGACGGGATGCTCCACGTCCACGGTGCTGGTGCTGGAGGTGGTGTCGACCGCTTCGCAGACACGACAGACTGGTCGATCCTAGACAAGCTCCTCGCCTCGCACCAGAACCTCGACCAGCTCTTCCACGGCAAGGTCACCGCGGCATCTGCTGCCTCCCCAATGGCGGCATACCATCAGCAGCTCATGGAACTCGGTGGCTCGTCGTCGTCGCCGTCTTTACAGAGGCTTCCACTGCAGTACCTCGGCGGCGAGACGGCCCATCTCCTCAGGTTCCCCAAGTAGTTGGATCGACCTCAAGTTTAGCTACCTTGTTAAGCAGTGACCAGAGCAGGTTTTTGGTTGACTACTAGACTGCTTAATTCGGTCTACTTCGTATGGAGTTTAATTAGTGCTTCTAAATGTATATATATGGTATGCTACTGTTTGCATTGGGGGCATGCATGCATGGAATGCCATCTACTGTGGTTGCTTGGTTGGTCAAGAGGATCTTTTATTTGATGTTTGCATTTTGGCTTAGGGTTGCACGTTAGGTGCTTTTGGAGAAAAAATGTGAAGAGATGGCCCGGTCAATCAAGAACTTCTATTTGTTTTCGTGAAAATATTACTTCTGTTTCAAACTCTAATTCCCATATATTGATTGGTCTTTTTTTGTTGATGAACTAATCACTATGGGAAACACGTGATTTGCCGAGTGCAAAAAATCTTTACCGAGTGTCAAATTTCGGGCACTCGGCAAAGACCTGCTTTGCCGAGCGCCACACTCGGCAAAATATGACACTCGGCAAAGGCTGTCTTTGCCGAGTGCCTGGCACTCGGCAAAGGCTGATACTCGGCAAAGATTGGTAGGGGCTTAACGGCATCTAGCGGCGTCCTCTTTGCCGAGTGCCCCCCGTTTGGCACTCGGCAAAATATTTTTTTTTTGGTTTTTTACCACAAATTTTTTTGTGAAGCTTTAGTACACTACCACAAACAACATGTTTAAATTTGGGACATTTTCATTGCCTTTTGGTATATTTCTATAGTTTATTTTGTTTTGTTGAATTTTTTCAGAAAATGTAAGTTTGAACTGCAGGTGCATCGAATAATGCATTACATTCGTTCAAAAAATGTTATCCTTGTTTCTTAGTGTAAATTTAGGCTAAATCCAGGAACTATCTCGAAATTTCGAGCAACGTGCTCACGGGGCAACGCCGCCAACTTGCGTGGGAGTGGTTTTTTAATTGTATAAAATGCGAACGAATTCCGAAAATCATGAAACTTGTTGAGTTGTCGCCGTATCGTATGCGTATGCCGTGGAAAAAATTTAAAAAAGGTGGAGATGTCCTGGTTTGTGAGCATCGTACGTGACAACGTGCTCGAAAATTTTTCAAATTTTTTCCACGGCATACGCATACGATACGGCGACAACTCGACAAGTTTCATGATTTTCGAAATTCGTTCCCATTTTATACAATTAAAAAACCACTCTCACACAAGTTGGCGGCGTTGCCCCGTGAGCACGTTGATCAAAATTTCGAGACAGTTCCTGGATTTAGCCTAAATTTACACTAAGAAACAAGGATAACATTTTTTGAACGAATGTAATCCATTATTCGATGCACCTGCAGTTCAAACTTACATTTTCTGAAAAAAATCAAGAAAACAAAATAAACTATAGAAATATGCCAAAAGGCAATGAAAATATCCCAAATTTAAACATGTTGTTTGTGGTAGTGTACTAAAGCTTCAAAAAAATTGGTGGCAAAAACCAAAAAAAATTATTTTGCCGAGTGCCTAGGGCGCCCAGCTGGCACTCGGCAAAGAGCTGCTGAATTTTTTTAAAACTTCACCGAGTGCCAGATCACGACACTCGGCAAAGAAAATTGACTTTGCCGAGTGCCGCCAATCTGGCACTCGGCAAAGCCGCCCTTTCCCTTCACCCGCGCCCGGCCGGCGCGCTCTCTCTCTCCCTTTCTCTCATTTCTCTCTCCCTCTCACCTCTCTCCCTCACCTTGCCAAGCATGCCATGGCTTCTGTCCCCACCACCAAGGCCTCCCAGCACAGCGGGCCCCATGACCCCCGCCCACAGCCACTCGCCTCCCGTGCAGGGCCCCCCGTGGCGCTAAATCACAGCCACCGCGGCCTCCCGCCACCACCGCGCCTCCCGTCAAAGGGCCCCCGAGGCCTCTGCCCCGGCCACCGCGCCACTACAGAAGAGAGGAGGAGGAGGCAGGGGAGAAGAGAGGAGAAGGGGAGAAGAGAGGAGGAGAAGGAAAAGGAGAGGAGAAGGAAGGTGTCGGCCTAGGCCCGTCGACCCTCACGCCGCTGCGGTCGTCCCCGCCGTCGTCGCCGACCCTCGTTGTTGCCATTCTCGTCGCGAAGGTATGCCCTACACCTGTAGTAGTTAGTAGTAGTACTTAGTAGTGTTAGTAGTAGTTAGTAAGTAGTAGTAGTTAGTAGTGTTAGTAGTATTGTTAGTAGTAAGTAGTGATAGTAGTAGTGTTAGTAGTAGTGTTAGTAGTAGTAGTGTTAGTGTTAGTAGTAGTTGTAGTGGTAGTAGTACTTGTTGTTGTACTACTTCGATACTTTCATCTGCATGGAAAGAGAACTAAAGTACATGGCTCATCTTGGTATATATATGTTTGTTGGCCTTCATGCCTATGTTTGGTATATATGTGGTTGTTGGCCATCGCGCCTACGTTTCTTGTAGGTTTTGGAAACCTCCCCGTGCAGGGGAGGTGCTGTCGAAATTTTCAATGGATTCTAACCTATTGCCTTTTATGTAGGAGAAGGACCCGTGGGAGGGACTCGGCGACCCCGATCGTCTTCGTCGGTCGCTGCTGGTCTGTCTGCACCGCATCGCCTCGCCACTGCACCGACACGCCACTGCCCTACTAGCCTGACTCCACCGCCACCCTAGGTATAACCCCCTACTCCTTTGCATGCATGTTTTATATGGTCATGTAGCCCAGTTAGGCGTCTCCCGTTCGAAAGAGATACGGTCGGAGGTATGCAGATCTTTGCATATCTACGACCGTATCTCTTTCGGATTGTCCACGTATTTTGGATAGCCCACGGATGCGTAGATGAGGTTAGTTTCCATGGTTTGCTCCGGTCCGAGACAGACTTTTGGCATCACCTCCCTATTATTCTCTGGATACACACTCTCCCTTGCAGGACGTGTATCGGGAGAACAGTGGGGAGGTGCTGCCGAAATTCTGTCTCGGATAGGAGCGGAGCATTGAAGCTGACCTCATCTACGCATCCACGGGTGGGATTAGGACCTATCCTCACCTATTAGATGGTAGGAACACCGTGCAGATGCAATTGCTGGTTATATTACTCGCTTACATATGTATATGCTAGAGGATGGAGAACCATGATTGGATGTACACGGGCCACGCAAGTATGACCCTAGAATGGATGACTAAGACTAATGCTTTCTTGGAGCATTCATTTGGTGAGGCTGCTAGAGGGTCGAGTCGGATGCCGTGTCCCTGCAACAAATGTGACAACCGTGTAAGAAAGAATAGGAAGAACGTGGGGGAAGATTTTTGCAAGTATGGATTCACGCCAAACTATACCTGCTGGATCCACCATGGTGAAGCCGATCGTATTAGAGAGGAGGTGGTGAGACCACGCCTCGAGGCTTTTGATGGAGATGCCGAGGTAGCAAACTAGAAGGATGACTTTCAGGAGGCATGGTTCGGTGAAGGATTAGAGGACAAGCCAGAGGAATCCGCAAAGGCGTACTACAATATGATGTCTTTGGCATAGAAGCCCCTTCACGAAAAGACAATGGTTTCGCAACTGGATGCCATTGGACGCCTAATGGCGTTCAAGTCGCAATGTAGCATGAGTCAAGACAACTTCGATGGTATGTTAGCAGTTGTTGGATCCCTGCTTCCGGAGGGTCACATTCTGCCGAAGAACTTGTATGAGTCACAGAAACTTCTTCGTGCCCTTAAGATGCCGTATGAGCACATCCATGCTTGTCCGAATGGTTGCGTCCTATTTAGGAAAGATCACGAGAAAGGAACAGCTTGGTATCCCCGTGAAGGTCCTACGGTACCTTCCTGTCATACCGAGGATCCAACGGCTGTACGTGATAGAGGAGTCCACAAAACAGATGACATGGCACAAACATGGCAAAAGATACAATGCTGACAAGATGGTACACCCATCGGATGGCGATGCATGGACCCATTTCGATGGCATACATCATGGTAAAACTGAGGAGGCTCGGAATGTACGTGTAGCGCTGGCAATAGATGGGTTCAACCCCTATGGATTACTGGCAGCCCCGTACACTTGTTGGCCCATGTTCGTGATCCCCCTCAATCTCCCCCCCGGCGTCATGTTTCAACCTAAGAACGTATTCTTGTCACTGATAATTCCTGGACACCCGAGGAACAAGATGGGTTTGTTCATGGAGCCTCTCATTGATGAATTGATCCTTGCTTGGGAAAAGGGGGTACTGACATACGATCGAGCTACAAAGAAGAACTTCACAATGCATGTGTGGTACCACTACTCCCTACATGACTTCCTGGCGTATGGCATATTCTGCGCGTGGTGTGTTCACGGGAAGTTCCCATGCCCAATATGCAAGACAGCTGTGAGATTCACTTGGCTGAAGAGGGGTGGCAAGTTTTCTTTGTTTGACCAACATCGTCAATTCCTCCCTCTTGACCATCCATTCAGACGAGACGTCAAGAACTTCAGGAAAGGGGTTCAAGTCACCAACCCTACACCTCAGATGATGACCGGTGCCGAGGTCCGTGCTAAGATAGAGGCTCTCAAAGATGATAAAGAGAAAGGTGGTTTTATTGGATATGGTGAGGAACACCAGTGGACTCATAAATCGGGCTTGACCATGCTCCCCTATTTCAATGACCTTCTTCTTCCACACAATATTGATGTAATGCACACAGAAAAGAATATCGCCGAGGCGCTTTTTGCAACACTCATGGACATTCCTGATAAGTCAAAGGACAACATTAAGGCTAGACTGGACCTGGCAACGATGTGCGATAGGCCAAAGCAAGTGATTAAGCCTCCCGCGCCCGGCAAGAAATGGAGAAGGACTCCGATCGATTTCATCTTGAAAAAGGACCAAAGGAAGGAAGTACTACAGTGGATCCAGACGTTAATGTTCCCTGATGGGCATGTGGCGAATTTGAGTAGGGGAGTGAACTTGTCCACTATGCGAGTCTTAGGGATGAAGAGTCATGACTACCACATATGGATTGAGCGGCTCCTTCCTACGATGACCCGGGGATACGTCCCTGAGCATGTGTGGC